CGGGGAAAGTAATTACGTATAAGGTTTTTCAAGGCCCCAAAACCGCTTTTTAACCCCCAAAGGGAAAGGTTCCCCCCGCCCAATAAAAAAAAAAAAAAAAAATCAAGGTGTCAGAATAATGGTATTGTCCACTTCCTTCAGTATTTTATATCTATACATAAAGAGATTTTTCCTCATACCCCAAGATGACACAGAAAACAAAATATGGTTCCACCCTACAATGAAATGTTTAGCCCTAAACATGGAGGAAACTCTGAGGCAGGTCAGTATGGACATACCTTGAGGGCATTCTGAGTGCAGTGTCCAGATACAAAGGCCAAGTTCAGTAACACCTTAAAAATTTATTTATTTATTATTATTTTTATTTTATGTGTATGAGTGTTATACCTGTATGTAGGTAAATGTACCTGTGTCGTGCAATGCCCATGGAGGACAGAAGAGGCTGTCAGATCCCCTGGAACTGGAGTTATGGACAGTTGTTAGCTGCCATGTGGGTGCTGGGGCTGAAGAGTTGGCTCAGCGGTTATGAACACTGGCTGTTCTTGCAGAAGACCAGGGTTCGAACCCAGGGAGGTCAGAGGACGGTGTTGGGTTCCCTGGAACTGCAGTTACAGATGGCTGTCAGTCACCATGTGGGTGCTGGGAATTGAATCCAGGTCCTCTGCAAGAGCAGCCAGTGCTTTTAACCACTGAGCCATCTCTCCAGCCCCCAGTAAGACTCATAAGCAGATGGTAAAGAGGGCATGAAGAGGTCTGTGGGTGGATGGAGTGATAGCAAAACAGGGAATGGTCATGCTTCATGTCTTCAACTATGCACATGAAAGTGTTAAGCTTCATGTTATGAACACTTTACCACAACAAAAGTTAAATTAAAAACCTGTTATTTCCATAGGAATTATTTAAAAAAAGATACAGTCTATACAGGAAGGAAAAGGCATTTTGCTTTTCACTTCATGCTTTTCAAATCTTATGCTTTTTTTTTTATGAAAGATGAAGTAAAAGCAGACAGGGGCTGGAGAAACAGCTCAGGGGTTAAGAACATTCACTACTCTTGCAGAGGACCTGGGTTCAGCTCCCAGCAAATACCTGGCTGCTAACAATGGTCCCTAATTCCAGTTTCAGGGGATGCAATGCCCTCTTCTGGCCTTCACAGGTATTGTACATGTGATACACTTACATACATGCACACAAAACACTCATACACATAAAAATACAAATAAAACTTAAAAAAAGAAAAAATAAAAACACAAGCATCTGACCTCAAGGTCAATGATCAGCACTGTGGCTGTTTTCCATGAGCTTTAGACATAACATTACTGCCAGGCCCTTCTGTCTTATTTCACTTTTTGTCATTTCTTTCTTGAGAAAGGGTTTTATGTAGTGGAGGCAAGCTTTGAGCCAATCTTTCTGCCTCTATTTCTCAAGTGTTGGGATTACAGGCATGTGCCTTCACACTCAAGTTTCTTGCCAGACCTTCAGAATGTGTCCTATGCCTCCCTGTGGGTACCTGCCCATCCTGCAGGGTCGGCTGAGCTGGTCTCAGGTCTAAAGGATCCAGGGGGCACTTCCAACCCTATCTCAAGTGCTTCTGGAGGCTGTAAGATTTCTATCTACATCTATGTGGTTAACTGCATGAAATGTGCCCAGGTCTGTGAACAAAGTGCACATCAGGGTTCTTGGCAAAGTCCAGGGTAGCCTGTTCCCAGAAATTTCTTGAAACTAAAACCATTTTTGAGTTTGACTATCATTTATGAACTGCTAATTTATTACAAGTCTTTTTGTTTTAATGCAATTACAGACACGTCTCACCATCTGCTACTCCTGTTTTATTTCTGTAGAAGATTCATTGGGATAATCTCTGTGTGTGTACTCACATACAGGGAGATCATACCAGAGTTACATTCACGTCTATGGATTACAGCCTAGGCCAAGGCTGGCAGCAAGAACAGTCACCCTGAGTGAAGGTTCAGGCTGGGTTGGCCCTGGGAATATGTGTGGGGAAGCAGCTCTAGTAGCTCTGATGAGGCCTCCAGCAGGCAGATTAAGAATGACTCTTTAAGACAGGTGTGGTGGTACGTGCCTTTAATCCCAGCACTCGGGAGGCAGAGGCAGGTGGATCTCTGTGAGTTTCAAGGCCAGCCTGGTCTACACAGTGAGTTCTAGGACAGCTGGAGCTACACGGAGACCCTGTCTCAAAAAGACCAAAAAAAAATAAAAAGAATGACTCTTTAAAATATAGCTGCATTAGAAAACAGAGGCAAACCTTAT